GCCTGCATCTCCGGCTTTTTACTAGCCTCTTGTGTGGTAGTGTATCAAAGACTTTCTGACAATCCAAAAATATGCAGTCTGCCCATCCCTCTCTTTCTTCAACCCGTCCTCTTAAAAATAACGTCACTTTTCGCTCGTATGCTCACTATGGCCAAATTTGGACATAATTTGAAATGAAATCGACTCACAAAAGTGACGTACTGTCCCGTTTTCTGTTTGAGTCGTCCGGCCTACTTGGTAAAGTTAGAAGAGGAAACTTTCACTTAACGTTTTTCATAACTTTTTGAAACTTTATGAGAATTTCCTGCCGACCTAACCTATCAGAGGACCCTTAACTTATTGTTGTTGAAAAAAAAATCCCAAATGTATTTTCATTTTTTTTCATTTTCATATTACGTCCACTTTCGGCTATACTGGTAAACGGTCAAAAGCGACATTATTTTTAAGCGGACAGGTTGCTTTCTTGCCTGATTTTTGTTACCTGGTTGTAGAATTCAATTAACCCTGTGAGGCAGGACTTTCCATCCCTGAACCCATGTTGATGCTGTGTTACAAAGTTCCTTCTCTCCAGATGTTCCTCTAGCTTTCTTCACACAATCTTCTCCATCAGCTTGCATGGTATGCAGGTTAGGGACACTGGCCTGTAGTTCAGTGCCTCCTGTCTATCCCCTTTCTTATATATGGGGACTACATTTGCTGCTTTCCAGATTTCTAGCAGTTCCCCTGTTGCCAGCGATTTGTTATACACTATGGAGATTGGCAAGAACAGTGCTTCTGCTTCTTCCTTTAGTATCCAAGGCGAGATTCCATCTGGGCCTATAGTCTTTGTCACATCTATCTCTGGTAACAACTTCCTTACTTCCTCACTGGTAATCTCAAACTCTTCCAGTGGTTGCTGGTTAACTATTCCTTCTCTTATCTCTGGAATTTCTCCTTGCTCTAAGGTGAAGACCTCCTGGAATTCTTATTCAGTTCCTCACACACCTCCTTGTCGTTTGTAGTGAATCCTTCTGTCCCTATCCTTAATTTCATTGACAGTTCCTTTACTGTTGTTTTTCTCCTGATGTGGCTGTGCAGCAATTTAGTTTGAGTCTTTGCCTTCCTCACGATGTCATTTTCGTATTGTCTTTCTGCCTCTCTTCTCATCTTGACATATTCATTCCTGGCACTCTGGTGACTTTCTCTGCTCTCAAGTGTCCTGTTATTCCTATAGTTTCTCTACGCCCTTTTACTTTGCTGCTTAGCTAGCCTACATCCTACTGTTTGAGTGTGTGTGCGTGTATCTGTATTAACCTAGTTGTGTTTGCGGGGATTGAGCTCTACTCTTTCGGCCCGCCTCTCAATTGTCAATCAACTGTTTCTATTACTACTACTATTTTTTTCACACCATACACACCCACATCCCAGGAAGCAGCCCGTGACAGCTGACTAACTCCCAGGTACCTATTTACTGCTAGGTAACAGGAGCATAGGGTGAAAGAAACTCTACCCTTCGTTTCTCACCGGCGCCCGGGATCGAACCCGGGACCACAAGATCACGTGTCCAGCGTGCGTGCTGTCCGCTCAGCCACCGCCTCCCAACACACTCCCGTGTGTGTTTGTGTGTGTGTGTGTGTGTGTGTGTGTGTGTGTGTGTGTGTGTGTGTGTGTGTGTGTGTGTGTATGTGTGTGTGTGTGTGTGTGTGTGTGTGTGTGTGTGTGTGTGTGTGTGTGTGTGTGTGTGTGTGTGTGTGTGTGTAATCACCTAGTTGCACTCACCTAGTTGTGCTTGGAAGGGTTGACCTCTGGCTCTTTGGTCCCGCCTCTCAACTGTCAATCAACTGATGTACAGGTTCCTGAGTCTATTGGGCGCTATCATATATACACTTGAAACTGTGTATGGAGTCAGCCGCCACCACATTACTTCCTATTGCATTCCATTCTCAACTACTTTGACATTAAAAAAGTTCTTTCTAATACCTTTGTTACTCATTTTGGGCACTCAGTTTTCACCTGTGTCCTCTATTGCGTGTGTCCCTTGTGTTAAATAGCCTGTCTTTATCTACCCTAACAATTCCTTTGAGAATTTTGTATGTGGTGATCATGATCCACTTAACTCTTCTGTCTTCCAGCGATTTCCAGAAACGTGAGGTATAATTCCCGTAGTCTCTCCTCGTAGCTCATATCTCTCAGTTCGGGTACTAGTCTGGTGGCAAACCTTTGAACCTTTTCCAGTTCAGTATTATGCTTGACTAGATATGGACTACACGCTGGAGCTGCATACTCCAGGACTGGTCTGTCATATGGGGTATATAAAGTTCTGAATGATTCCTGACACAAGTTTCTAAAGGCCGTTCTTATGTTGGCCAACCTGGCATATGCCGCTGATGTTATCCTTTTGATATGGGATTCAGGGGACAGGTCTTGTGTGATATCAACCCCCAAGTCTTTCTCTCTCTCTCTCTCTGACTCTTGAAGAATTTCATCTCCCAAATGATACCTTGTATCTGGCCTCCTCCTCCCTACACCTATCTTCATAACATTGAATTTGCGTGGGTTAAACTTTAACAACAATTTGTTCAACCATTCCTTCAGTTTGTCCATGTCTTCTTGAAGCCTCAAGCAGTCCTCCTCTGTCTTAATCTTCCTCATAATTTTGACATCGTCAGCAAACATTGAGAGGTATGAGTCTACACCCTCTGGGAGATCATTTACGTATATATGAAACAGGATAAGTCCGAGTACAGAGCAAAGTGGGACGCCACTGGTAATTACGCCAGTCTGAGGTCTCACCCCCCACTGTAACTCTGCTTCCCATTGCTTAGATACTCCCTGATCCACTGGAGCACCCTTCCAGTTACTCCTGCCTGTCTCTCCTGCTTATGTACCAGCCTCTTATGCGGTACTGTGTCTTTCCGACAGTCCAAAAAAAATAGTCTTCCCAGCCTTCTCTTTCTTGCTTAATCTTTGTCACCTGGTTGTAGAATTCTATCAAGCCTGTAAGGCAAGATTTACGTGTGTACTCACCTATATGTACTCACCTATATGTGCTTGCAGGATCGAGCATTGACTCTTGGATCCCGCCTTTCTAGCTATCGGTTGTTTACAGCAATGACTCCTGTCCCATTTCCCTATCATACCTAGTTTTAAAAGTATGAATAGTATTTGCTTCCACAACCTGTTCCCCAAGTGCATTCCATTTTTCTACTACTCTCACGCTAAAAGAAAACTTCCTAACATCTCTGTGACTCATCTGAGTTTCCAGTTTCCACCCATGTCCCCTCGTTCTGTTATTATTACGTGTGAACATTTCATCTATTTCCACTTTGTCAATTCCCCTGAGTATTTTATATGTCCCTATCATATCTCCTCTCTCCCTTCTTTTCTCTAGTGTCGTAAGGTTCAGTTCCTTCAGCCGCTCTTCATATCCCATCCCTCGTAACTCTGGGACAAGCCTCGTCGCAAACCTCTGAACCTTCTCCAGTTTCTTTATGTGTTTCTTCAGGTGGGGGCTCCATGATGGCGCGGCATACTCTAACACGGGTCTCACGTAGGCAGTGTAAAGCGCCCTAAAAGCTTCCTCATTTAGGTTTCTGAATGAAGTTCTAATTTTCGCCAGTGTAGAGTACGCTGCTGTCGTTATCCTATTTATATGTGCCTCAGGAGTTAGATTAGGTGTCACATCCACTCCCAGGTCTCTTTCTCGAATCGTTACAGGTAGGCTGTTCCCCTTCATTGTGTACTGTCCCTTTGGTCTCCTGTCACCTGATCCCATTTCCATAACTTTACATTTACTGGTGTTAAACTCCAGTAGCCATTTCCCTGACCATCTCTGCAGCCTGTTTAAGTCCTCTTGGAGGATCCTACAATCCTCGTCTGTCACAACTCTTCTCATTAATTTTGCGTCATCTGCAAACATTGACATGTATGATTCCACTCCTGTAAACATATCATTTACGTAAATTAGAAAGAGGATTGGTCCCAGCACCGATCCTTGAGGTACTCCACTTGTTACTGTTCGCCAGTCCGACTTTTCGCCCCTTACCATTACCCTCTGGCTCCTTCCTGTTAGGTAGTTCTTCACCCATACTAGGGCCTTTCCGCTTACTCCTGCCTGCCTCTCAAGTTTGTATAGCAGTCTCATGTGCGGTACCGTATCAAAGGCCTTTTGGCAGTCAAGAAATATGCAGTCTGCCCAGCCTTCTCTGTCCTGCCTTATCCTTGTTACTTTATCATAGAATTCTAAAAGGTTTGTTAGGCATGATTTCCCCGTCCAGAACCCATGTTGGTGCTTGTTTACAAACCCAATGCTCTCCAGGTGCTCAACAAGTCGTAGCCTAATTATTCTTTCAAGTATTTTGCAGGGGATGCTTGTCAGTGATACGGGTCTGTAGTTAAGTGCCTCCTCCCTATCACCTTTTTTGAAAATCGGTACGACATTTGCCTCCTTCCAGCTACTGGGCAATTCTCCCGACATAAGTGACTCATTAAAGATCATTGCCAGAGGCACGCTGAGAGCCTGCGCTGCCTCTTTAAGTATCCACGGTGATACTTTGTCTGGTCCAACAGCTTTATTTGCATCCAGTGTTGTCAACTGTGTGTGTGTGTGTGTGTGTGTGTGTGTGTGTGTGTGTGTGTGTGTGTGTGTGTGTGTGTGTGTGTGTGTGTGTGTGTGTGTGTGTGTGTGTGTGTGTGTGTGTGTGTGTGTGTGTGTGTGTGTGTGTGTGTGTGTGTGTGTGTTATTATTATTATTATTATTATTATTATTATTATTATTATTACTATCAACCGAAAACTTCTGGGTATTATTCACACGATAGGACAAAGTGTGTACTTGGCAGATAATCCTGGGTGTCCATGAGTCAGGCAAGTATGTCAGGCAACTTTCATCTTCAGAAAGGTCAGTTGTTGACCTTATGGGACCTCGATAAGCCTCATAGACTTTAATTCCCCGACATCTGAAAGCGATTTAATTTTTAATAATAAAACTTGCCACCGTTTGACAAACCGTCAATACTCACTATTGGAAACATTCAGGACGTCCTCAACAGACTGGGAGACGGGATTGGAGCTGATGATGAAGGTACACAACAGGTTAATGATCTGTAGTCCAATGGCGATCTCAACTGCCAAGTTCATCGTCACGGTCAGGAGGATATTGCTTTCTACTTGGTCACCATACAAGATGAAGCCACACAGACCCACAGGCAGGTACAGGGACATGATACCTGTAAAACGATAAGGAAAGGCATTATTTGCTGATATTATAGATTCCAAACGAGGCACAGTTGCGTTATTTGCAATAACAAGTTATAATAACATATTACTTGCAGAAGAAAATGGAGACAAATACTTCTACCTTCATGAAGCATAAAATTTCAGACTTGAGATACTAACATCACATAGTTGCATTCTATAGGATTGTTCTAAAATGTCAACATAACAGTTTAATGGAATAAAATTAACAACATAACCTTGGGCATTGTGAAGTTTACAAATCATGTTCTGAATTTCACAAGTACTTCATCACTGAAAAAATCTTTCTAACAGATTTCTAACAGATTTCTAACAAGTAAATCTTTCTAACAGATTTCTAACAAGTAAATCTTTCTAACAGATTTCTAACAAGTAAATCTTTCTAACAGATTTCTAACAAGTAAATCTTTCTAACAGATTTCTAACAAGAAAATCTTTCTAACAGATTTCTAACAAGTAAATCTCTCTAACAAGTAAACTTTCTTTCAAGTAATAGTAAACTTTCTAACAAGTAAATAACAAAGAGTAACTGCAAACCAAAGAAAATTCATTATGGGCACAGTGAAAAGCAATGTGCAACAAGATGGTTGTAATATCTCGACAGCGCACCCCGCTCCTACCACTGAGCTAACCATGCAATCTCCGTTCTTCCTATGGTAATAACAGATGCTTTACCGATCACGTAAGATGTTAACACTCGGGCCGTCATACGAGGACGTAAACCAGTAAACAGAGGAGAGAGAGAGAGAGAGAGAGAGAGAGAGAGAGAGAGAGAGAGAGAGAGAGAGAGAGAGAGAGAGAGAGAGAGAGAGAGAGAGAGAGAGAGAGAGAGAGAGAGAGAGAGAGAGAGAGAGAGAGAGAGAGAGAGAGGAAGAGTGAGGAAGAGTGAGGCAGAGCGAGAACGAGAGCAAGGGAGGGAGAATGAGAGCGAGTGAGGGCGAGGGAGAGTGAGACAAAAAGATGGAGATATTCGTAGTCACAGCCCTCGTATGAGTTACCGAGTGACACTGCCACCACCCTGAGTTACCGGACAGGGGACCGGAGTGAGGTTCGTAGGTCTTGCAGATGGAATAACCTACCAGGACAGGTGTAGGAGACAATTGAACGGTACAAGGATCCTGACCTGACACTCGAATAATCCTGACCACTTGGGAACTATAGAGTACACAAGAATAAGGCGGGACACACCCAATATTAACACCTCAACACGGAAGACGAACGGGGGGAAGAGTACTGAATAATTAGGGACACTAGGTCACTGAGGCAAAGGGACGGTAGGCCCAGTATCACTAAGACAAGGAACCATTAATACACATTTAATAACACTTGACAATATATGACTTTATTTGAAATAGTTAAATAAGACACTCCCTAACTATGTTCCCTACTAGAGGCCATGAGTACTGAATGAGGTGCTTTAGTACAAGAGAGCCGTACTTACTCGTATAATGTTCCCCAGTTCTCCTGGAGATAATGTTCCCTCCCTGAGTCCACACACACCGTCCTACTGGGCTGCGCCCACTCTACTGTCCCTTCTATGATCTTCTCCTCAGCTGAACATGAGGGTTTGGCATTTTGATGTTTAGGAGTTAATCCCTGAAGATTATCATGACGGCATCAACTCTGACCTCTTCGTGACTTGGTAACCGCTGACCTGTCCTCCTGGTTAACTGGTACTGAGGTGTAACTTTTACATTGTCTGCCGCCGCCTGACTGGCGCCTGTGGTTTGTTCATCTGGTGGTCAAACCACCAGAAGAGGTAAGGGAGCATGGCATTGGCTTTACCATCAGGAACGGGTTGTTAAGGTCCATAGTACCGTCCACAGAAGGGTCTGAAAGGATCATCAAACTTCAACTTCATCCAGCAGCAGGAATGGTCAGCCTACGCACCAACATTGACCTCTACTAAAGCGAAGGATGAGTTCTATGATGACCTCGGCCTAGCTCACCAAGTGCTAGTGAGACATACCTCACCAAGGGCCAGTTTTTCTCCTGGGGAGACTTTAATGCAAGAGTTGGTTCTGATCACAGCTCTTGGCCTTCCTGCCTGGGCCAGCTTAGATTTGGAAAGATGAATGAGAGTGGGCAGCTCCTCCTGGAGTTCTGCTGTCGCCGTGATCTCTGCATCACCAATTACTTCTTCGACACCAAGCCCCAGCATAAGGTTTCATGGAGACACCCCAGGTCTAAGAATTGGCACCAACTCGACATGTTCCTTATGGGACATAGCAATCTGAGAAGCGTCACACTGACCCGCTGCTGCTGCAGATTGTGACACTGACCACTCTCTCGTCGTTTGCAGAGTAAAGTTCCAGTCCTGGAAAATCCACAGAGCAAAGAAGGAGGGAAAACCACGCAATAATGTAAACAAAACTCCTGACCTTCACCAGGTGGAGGAATTCACTGCTGCGCTGGTAAATGCCCTTCCTTTACCACCCTGCGATAGCGGAAGTGAGAGTTGGTCACATCTCAGGGGCATTATTTTCAACACAGCCATGTCCACCTTCGGTAAGAGGCAGAACAAGTCACCAGATTGGTTCGAAGCCAGTGCAGACAAACTGTTACCCCCATAGAGGAAAAGAGACGAGCTCTCTCATCCTACAAGAACCTACTCTCAGAAAGGAACCTACAGGCCCTCTGTATTGCCGCAGGAGTGGCGCTGTGCCTCAGCGAAACAAACTGCAAGGCACTGTGCAAGATTACTGGTTCCGACTCTCTTCCAGCATCTATACTGCAAACACTGTCGGCAACATAAGAGGCATGTACAAAGGGATCAAACAGGGAACAGGCTCTACACAAAATAAGATGGCTTCTCTGAAGTTAGTCACTGGAGAGATCATTAAAGACCATGATCAACAGATGAATCGCTGGGTGGAACATTACTCCAAATTTCAGAGAGAACTTGGACAGCGTAAAGGCCTTGGATGCAATCGAGTGCCGGCCCATCATGGAAGAACTTGATCTTGAACCGACTGTGGGTGAAGTTGAGAAAGCACTGGATTTACATTCCTCAGGGAAGGCCCCCAGGAGACGATGGGATTCCGCCTGAAGTTCTCAAGTGCGCTCGTGGAACACTTAAAACAGAGCTTCATGAACTTCTGTGCTAGTGCTGGAGGGAGGGCTCGGTGCCACAAAACTTGACAGATGCAAACATCATCACTCTCTACAAAAATTAAGGTGACAGAAGTGATGTCAACAACTATCGCGGCATCTCCCTCCTCAGCGTCGTCGGCAAACTCTTCGCCATGGTCGTGTTGGTCAGGCTTTAGATTCTTGTTGAAAGAGTGTACCTGAGTCAAAGTGCGGTTTCCGAGCAGAGAATTCGACCACTGACATGGTGTTCTTCCAGAGACAGTTTCAAGAAAAGTGCAGGGAGTAGAGAAATGTCTTATTCTTCGCCTTCATTGACCTTACAAAGGCCTTTGACCTCGTGAGCAGGGACGGACTCTACAAGATTTTGGCCAAAATTGGCTGCCCACCCACCCTCCTCAGCATGATACAATGAAGGACATGAAGGGAACAGTTGTGTATGACGGCTCAACTTCTGAACCATTCAACATCAACAGTGGTGTTAAACAGGGGTGCGTTCTTGCTCCAACTCTGTTCGGCATATCCTTCACGTCAAGCATGCCTTTGGAACAACCACAAAGGACATCTATCTCCGTACAAGACCTGATGGAAAGCTCTATAATCTATCCAGAGTTCGAGCAAAGACGAAAGTACAGATGGGAATCCCCAGAGAGTTCCTCTTGCCGACGACCCAGCGATCACCGCACACACAGCAGAAGGCCTGCAGAAGCTACTCAACCGCTTTGCCGCAGACTGTTCCGCATTCGACCTGACAATCAGCCTGAAGAAGACACAGGTGATGGGACATGATGTCAATGAGCTACCCTGTATAAACATCACAGACTATGTGCTGGAGGCAGTTCACGAGTTTGAGAACCTGGGCTCCACAATCTCAGACACCCTTTCCCTTGACACTAAGCTCAACAGGCGTATCGGGAAGGCCACAACAACACTGGCCAGGCTCACAAAGCGCATTTGGAAAAAATGTCAAACTGACAGTGCACACCAAGGCAGAAGTCTACATGGCATGTGTGGTGAGTACACTTCTCTATGGTTTGGAATCCTGGACCCTGCGTTCTCGCCAGGAGAGACGGCTCAATACCTTTCACATGCGGAATCTGAGACGCATCCTTGATATCACGTGGGAAGACCACATCACCAACAACACGGTACTCGAGAGAACAGGAGTCCCTTCAATGTTCACTCTCCTGAAGCAGAGACGCATGTGATGGTTGGGCCATGTCACACACATGGAAGATTGCCGCATACCGAAGGACCTCTTATATGGAGAATTGGCATCAGGAAAGAGACCCACCAGAAGATCTCAGCTGTGTTTCAAAGACGCCTGCAAACGCGACCTCAAGCAGATTAACATCGACATCAACACTTGGGAGACAGCAGCTGCAGACAGATCTGCCTGGCGATGCAAAGTGCAAAAGGGACTCCAGATATTCGAAGATGAACTGAAGAGGCAGGCAGAGGATAATAGACTTCAGAGGAGGTCTCGACCACTGTCAGACGCACCCGCTTCGATGTTTATCTGCACTCGTTGCAGACGAGACTGTCATTCTCGGGTTGGCCTTCACAGCCACAGCAGGCGTTGCACCCAACTAGACTAGAATAACTAGACACCCAGGGCACCACTCCGTAACCCAACGGGTTTGACGGATTGACTACTTCTAAATTCTTATGTATTACAATACACTTGTATTACAAGTGCCACCTACGCCCACTTTATTCCTGTTTATTCCTGACTGGTCAGATATTAAAATTAATCACTGGAACGTTGCTGCTTACATACTCTGCCAATGCTAGCATTGGCAGAGTAGCCAATACATTTTTGAAAGTGTTTAAATATATTTGACAATTATTATTAATGAAACACATTAGGATGTTATATAAAATCTAATGTGAATATGCAACATATAGACTGCGATTTCTACTCCAAGTGGAAAGTAACTTACCAAGAAATCCAAGACAAATGCTCTTCCAGAATTGGGACCTGTCCTCCATGTCGTTCTGGATGGTGGGGAAGACAGCAGCTCCACCGAAAGCAAAGAGAATTGAGCCAAACCCCAGTGAGAAAGAACCCACGGTCGGGTTCGGGTACTGGGGATTATCCGGGCGCGTCTCAGGGAACTCGAAGATCTGGATCACTATTACTACAACAGCTGCTGCGGTTGCTATCACTGCCAGCAGTGAGGCTTGCCTGGTGGAGAGAGAGATAGCGAGAGAGAAAGAGAGAGAGAGAGAGAGAGAGAGAGAGAGAGAGAGAGAGAGAGAGAGAGAGAGAGAGAGAGAGAGAGAGAGAGAGGGGGGGGGGGGAGTAAGAATGGAGAGAGAAAGGGAAAGAGATGATGTGAAATTATTATATGTAGTATGTGGGAACACTGAATCACACAACGAAATTTACTAACTTCTCTACTAAACGATTTTAACATTAATTACCCTCAGGTCTGCAGGTTCTGAGCTCGATTTCCGCACAGGACGAGACGTTTGGGCATTTTTCTTTATACCTAGAAATTAGGTTACTGTTGTGGGTTGCATCTGAGAATCTCTAAATGACTGATCACACCTGTATTAAATGTACCAGGAAGGTCAGATACTGCTGTGGGTTCCATCCAAGGGAAGATCAGTAATCAGCCTAGAAGTACTTCAATAAGTTTAATACGCTTCCTTTTTCCTCCAGTGGGTAACCATCTCTAGTGGTCTGGATGTGAACAATAAATCGGTTGCTGCTACACTGAGCATCGCCAATTTAAACCATAAATATTAGGTTAGTGTACAATTAAAAACTCATATACAGAAAATACTCAGGATGAGACTCGAGATTTTTTCCCATTAAATGAATAAGTTCGTCATGTCTGCTGTAGTGTGTTGACTGGAATAGTATTCAGTCACCAACAGGAACTGTTGTTCAAGTTGTGATATGTTGAACCTGTTGTGTGTTGACTGGTGGCTTGAAACTATTGCCCCTGTTGTGAGATGTTGGACTTGTTAAAAGTGGTCTAGATTAATACCTTCAAACTTTTTTGAAGATTAATACCTTCAGCATTAAATGTTTCTCGTTAAATTAGATCTGTCGAGTTTTCTTTGAAAAGTTAGTTCTAAAGCCTGGGGTGTGAGGTCTCATTTGATTGATTGTTGCCGCCGAAGGCGGCTAGTTTATTGTGAACCCCATACTCATCCTGTGAGCGGTATCGCAAAAGCATTACAGAGGGCACAAAAGGTCTTTATGAGACCTCATCTTAGATTATTACATAAACAATTTCTTCAATCCTTCACACCTTATAGATACAATGTCAGCTTTGTGAGGTCTCAGTTTCGTTGTTTTTCAGTTAACATTTTCCGGTGCAACTGTCATTCTGTTGGATACATCCACATACTTGGTTCCAGCAGTCCACACCGATGCAGACGAGAGTGTTGGAGACATCTCCATACCTGAATGCAGTAGTCTAGACAGGGGAGCAGACGGAATTTGCACATCTGCATCATTATTTTACATTCTTGAAAGTCAAAGATGCGTTTTATCATTTTAAGATATGGTTCGTTATTTATGTATTTCCTTCTTGTTACACAGATTCAACAGTTGGTTAATCGTTACTCAGGAGTTATTTTCTGCCGTCTGTTAAATGCCTTACTGTCTTTATGGTTATGATTATTATGGTTATGATTATTATAGCTATGATTATTATGGTGTTACGAACCCGGATCCAGCGTCCGAGCACGGAGCAGTAACGACCACGCCATCTGTGGGTCAGCTCCCGAAACCCCCGCCAAACGGACGACGACACCTGGGGAGGACGGCGAATACCGGCCACAAGGGCCAGTTTCCAGTCCCGTTCAGCACTCAACACCGCCGCCGCTGACCTCTGGTGAGGTGGTGCTCAGACTACAACGCCATCTATGGAGTGGATATGTCGGGCGTTTGTGTCTGAGTCTGTAAGTGAGGTGTTTTAGTGTCCCTGTTATTGATGACGTGTCTGCTTACAGAGTCGACCTGGGACTGCTGTGATGGAAGTTGAGTCAGTCTACCCGAGGCAGCCAGTCTCCATACCTTGTACTTTGCTGCAGCCGTTGTGAAGTCGCCCCCCCCCCCCCCCCCCCCCCCCCCGGAAGAACACTGTGGTGTGTTAGTCTGCCAGTGAAGTGGTGGTAAAAGGATTACCCGGGACTGACTGTTGGAGACGATCATCCACTGGGGTATTGAGGACAGGAGGGTGATTTGTGATATCACACGAGACTCCTGTCTAGGGTGTTTACTCTAATATCGTTCGTGGAGTGGCCTGACCAGCATTGCGGGTCCAGAACCTGCCAGCAGACCGGCTGGATTTGTGGTTGACGGCCTCCACGGCGGTGCCCCCAGTGGACCTGTGTTTTGGCTGACCTGTGGCCAGGGTAGGCTCAGCATTCTCAGAGGACACGTTGTGAGGCCACGAAGAAAACACCGAGGACTCAGCACCTAGCTTCTGGATCCAGAGTCTTCAGTAGAAGACTATATTGTGAATAATCCCCTTGTATAGTGTTAATACCCCTCCCCCTGTGTAATCTTTTAATATATTTATTCGGTGATGGTAATTATAATATTAAGTTCTTAACTTTCTTTCCCTACTCCCTTTAAGTTACTTGCGTCACGGATCACATCCCTTGATAGCCTCTACTGGCTTGGGAACGGATATATATCTTCCTCTAACAACATCAGAGTAAGAATCCCGTTGCGTCCCGAGAGGGCCGTAACATTATGATTATTATGGTTATGATTTATGGTTATGATTATTATAGCTATGATTATTATGGCTATGATTATTATGGCTATGATTATTATGGCTATGATTATTATTGTTATGATTATTATTGTTATGATTATTATTGTTATGATTATTATGGCTATGATTATTATAGCTATGATTTTTATGGTTATGATTATTATGGTTATGATTATTATGGTTATGATTATTATGGTTATGATTATTATGGTTATGATTATTATGGTTATGATTATTATGGTTATGATTATTATGGTTATGATTATTATGGTTATAATTATACAGTTATATACTGTATACTAGAACCTTCATTTATAAATATTTAAATTTACTTAGCGTTTGTATCCAACAATCCTGTAAGTCTTCGTAACATCTGCGAATTTGATGATGTGGTTTGCGACTTTAATATCAGAGTCAATGATGAAAATTACAATAATTGTTGGCCCTAACTTGGATCCTGGCGGCTCCTCTGCTGTCGACGTTTTCCCAGTCGCCTTCTGTTTACTGGGACGACTATGTTCTCTCTTTGCAATTGTTTAATCAATTGCAACATTTTCTCACTGAGTCCATGAGCTAGTAGTTTCATGGTATTTTATTTTACCATATTTTATCAAAAGCCTTATTCAATGCAATATCTTTCATTATTATGGACCCCACACCCATCCCGTGGGTGGATGTGAAAATGGTTACAGAGGCACATAATAGGGTTCAGGAACTGAGCCCAATAGTTCATTTAGCTTAGAAAGTGACAATCTTATGAAGCTTGTTACACAATTGTTAATGTTACATACACATGTACATATATATAGAATCATTTACACAAATACATATACACATCAGTAATCTCTTTATATCACAAGTGAATCAACAAGAGGCTCACAACAGTCACTATTCAAGGCACTTTACATCTATGGTGAGTCACGCAGTTACTAGTCTTGCTCCACACCCACCGAACTGGAACTGGGCGGCAGCTGTACAGTCATGTGCATGCATTATCCACAGATATCTTGAGGTTATCTTGAGATGATTTTGGGGCTTTTAGTGTCCCTGCAGCCCGGTCCTCGACCAGGCCTCCACCCCCCAGGAAGCAGCCCGTGACAGCTGACTAACACCCAGGTACCTATTTTACTGCAGGTAACAGGGGCATAGGGTGAAAGAAACTCTGCCCCTTGTTTCTCGCCGGCGCCTGAGATCAAACCCAGGATCACAAGCCCAGTGTGCTGTCCGCTCGGCCGACTGGCTCCCAAATCTTTTATACTTCGCTAAGATTCTCGGGAGTACATCATTATGAATGAAGTATTTGCACATTTCATGGACTTCATTGATGGTGTTATCTCTGAATTCCACGATTTGCTTATATTTCATTATATAATGACGCAAAGTATGCGAATAATTCTGCTGACAAAGCTTACATTTAGTCAAATCTACATCAGCAGAAGTTACAAACTCCCAGAGGTACTTGTAGCCGAGCCTAAGCCTAGCAGTGGTAACATCTTGAAGTCTACTAACCTTATTGGAAGGCCCATAGACATGTGAAACTTCCTGCATAATAGAATGATGATAAATGGAGTAACTGGTGTTAATTTCACTTTGCCTCAAGTCTAGGTGATTTTGTTGATGGTATTACTGTCCTCAGGCTGCTCAAAGGCAGTCCACGATGGTAATCAATTACCCTCTTCACGAGCAAAGGTTTTGGCTAGCTCATCAGTTCTAGCATGCATTTGGAGACCAATATGGGAAAGAATCCACAGGAGACAAACTCTGACTCCATCATTGATTTTTTTCATTATATCTGTGTCTAGCTTCAGAGATAAGCACGTCACAGTTATGCCTTAGGGAGCTGAGGTCAGTCAATGATGACAAAGAGTCACTTATAATTAGCGTGTCAATTTTGTAGTCATATACGCGCTCGAGTGCAATGATTATGGCAACCAATTCTGTTTGAAGAGTGTAGGCCCAGTTATTAATACGCGTTTCACACTGATGGGAGAAGGAACCATCTCTCGCTGTCACAACAACTGCACTTCCAGCTGAACCATAGGACTATTGTAAGGAGCCATCAGTGTAAGCATTTTGGGACAGAGACCGCTCTCTGACCAAAGCATCAATTTGGCTTAAGGCATTGTACTTTGTTTCTTCACGAAGCAAGGTTTCTTCTCTAATCAGCTTCTTGGGTAGGAAAGGGGTGACAGTAATTTGAAAAGGGGTGATCTCGCATGGGGCAGGACAGTGTCGACAGTCTCTCTTGGTAGAGGTGCTGAATATTATACATTCTGAGCACAGTGGCGGTTTTGGTAATCCATTTGGAGGGATGCTGACCTTCAAGAAAGAAGGCCTGGAGGTCTTCAGTGCAAGGGTTAGGGCGGGTTAGTCGCCCTAACCCTTGCCCTGAAGCATCTTGATATTAAGTAAAGCATTAATTTCAATGAAACGATCACACACA